AAGCAGAAAACACACACAAACAGGAAAAACCATCTACTTACATACACCCGAAAAAGAAAGGAGTACTAAAGTTGTTTCTAATATGCACGTCAAAATACTGCTATCCATCTTTTAACCTAAACTCAAATGCAATAAACAGCGGTCTCAATTACGAATCAAAATGCAAAAAGAACAAAGCACATCAGTGCCATTAAACAGACGTTTCTTGAACACACATCAGATCTTTCAATCAACAAACTTCCGTCTCACCAGATGATTCCAGTTCATACAAATCAACACAAGCAGCACATCCCTAAGCACACTCCTCTCTCTTCGCCAAATGCTTATTGAAATAAAGTTCCCCACATGACAATAAGAAATGTTCTCTACCGACTAGAGAATATGTACCGTTCTCATATTCTCAAAGCCTTTCAGACCATTACTCCAGAGCACACTTCAGTCTATGCAACACAATTTCATCAAATCACGAAATCGCTATCTGAAAACCAACAATCATACTGATCTAATTTCTCCGCGTTAATGCCCATACCAAGAAGACCAAGATAACCAAGAAGACCACCAAGATAACGAAGACCAAGAAGACCACCAAGATAACGACCAAGACGACCAAGATAACCAAGATAAAGATAACCAAGATAAAGACCAAGATAACGACCAAGATAACGAAGACCAAGAAGACCAAGATAACCAAGATAAAGACCAAGATAAGAAAGAAGACCAAGATAAAGATAACCAAGATAAACACCAAGATAACCAAGACCAAGAAGACCATAATAAACACCAAGAAGATAACCAAGAAGAAGACCATAATAAACACCAAGAGAAACAACAAGATAAAGAACATAAACAACACCAAGATAATAAACACCAAGAAGACCATAAACAACAACAACAGAAACAGAAACAACAAGATAAAGAACATAAACAACAACAACAGAAACAGAAACAACAACAACACCAAGACCATAAACAACAACAACAGAAACAGAAACAACAGCAGAAACAGAAACAGAAACAGAAACAACAACAGCAGAAACAACAACAACAACAGAAACATAAGAAACAACATAAGAACCATAATAACCATAAGAAAAATAATAAACATAATAAACAACACCATAACCAACATAACCAACATAATAAACAAGATAAGAACCATAATAACCACGAGAAAAATAATAACCATAAACAACAACACCAAGACCATAAACAACAACAACAGAAACAGAAACAACACGAGAAAAATAATAACGAGAAAAAAGAAGAGACTTCTGTTCACCTCTTTTGCTCACTTGGAAGCAAACCTTGCGAATTGATTGGTTTGGTTTTTGTAAAGTCTGAATCATGGATTACGTTCGAGTGATCAATGCATTAGAATACGGTGAAAGTGTGGCTGTCACGATGTATTGATGATTTCCTAAACTATCAGTAAAGTTTTCTAAGTTTTGCGATGATCGAACGGTTTTTAGACTGCAGTATGTTTTCTGAGTCGAGTTGGATTGGTTTTTTATGTTTTGTTTTAGTTGAGAGGAAACGAAGCTTGCGGTTCGACATCCAACTAGTAGTGGAAGCCGTTGTGCTCTACTTTGGATGCTGAGTAGTTTTCAGAGATTCTACCACTTTCTGGACTTCAATCAGATTTTGTGCTACTATCCATTCATTAAGAAATTATCATAGTAGCAACAATAGCAGTTGACCTACAGCAATGAACAGAAAAATGTTATAAGATCGTGTTATGAATATGATAATATAACATGCATCAAATTAATTCGAGCAATTACTTCTACCGTGAACAGAATGAATCCCCGTAAGATCGACGGTCGGGCGAAAGTTCTACTAATCTTCATTTTTTTCTTACAGAGGGCATTGATATCATTTCAATTGAAGATTGTGTTTTGTTTTCATTGAATAGCATTGACAAGCACAAGCATGTAAACGAAAGCAGACAAGCCAATACATGTGGAAAGTGTTTGATGTAGTTTGTGGGTACCGATGATACACTATTGCTTAAGAAAAAAATCATAATGTTACAATTGATTATTCTCTCGTTCAAATAGTTACTATCGAAGAGAAAAGAAATAGCATTTCTAAATTAGTCGCTTAAATATGCAGCCAGTAAGTTTTGAAAGATTATACACGGATTTGATTAGCTATTTTTTGAAAATATGTGTCACTCAATAAAAGAATAAGTCATCATTTGTAGGTAATCAAGTTTAATATTTATCAATTTCCAATGTATTGGGGAAAATGTCCTGTCGAAACTTTTAAAAACTTACTGATCAATTTAATTATCGATTGTATTATTACGCCAGTTGCGAAAAGCATAGGTACAGCTTGCTTGAATTTTTTCCGGTAAAACTTTCGATGCGAAAACAAAAATAAACAACTGAAGTGTTGATGGCAAAAATGAATATAATCACGAGCTGATTTCATACATTCAACCAGAGAAGTCATTGCCCAGGGGTGCGAAAAACGGGTAAAAGGACTAGTCCTTATTGTAGTCGCGTCACCGTGTCCGGTCTAGTACTTTTCTCAAAAAGTCTGGGTACCGGACTAGTCTAGAATTAGCTGTAGTCCATATATCACGTCTTGACTACTCAATTAGCGGACGTCTTATTTATGACATGTCTGGTATTTTTTTCAGAAAGCGACTAGGCATGTGTTACCTCCTTGACGGGAGTCAAAAAGTGATGCAAATAAAATATATCAAGGACGCTGTGGGGCCACATATTAGGAACTAGGGCTGCGTTCGGACTAGTCCGTTTTACAATATGAAAGTATAGCTATTAGATTCGAGCATACATGCCAAGCTGTCACTTACCAAGTGTTCAGACGATTGAATCATGCTATCGAGAAACTTACTTCTAGATATGAATATTGATCATGAATCATATCTCATATACTTTCAAAGTTTTTAGCTTGTCATAGAATAATTGTTTCTTAGAAAAACATTATTTAAGTAATTTTTAATAATATTTTCTGGTCATTTTTTATCAGAATTGATTAACTTTATAGTAAAAATAACTTGTTAATATAAAAATAAATCCTAGGATCATTGAGACTACGATGAAAATAAATATTTTCAATAATCACTAAAGTTTAAGGGTAAACTTCATATAATTATTCTAAATTTATCTATGGATTATTTTCTTTCTATCCGAATGTATATTTAAATTTAGTCTGACAGAATTAATGATTTCGATGTAATTAAATGTAAGTTTATTATAAAAATATAACGAAGTTAAAAGATTACAGTCTGTTATATATGCGTAACGGATTGTTAAAAGCCTAGATTAGCATACCCAACATACAATAAATAATGTGTGTTTTATTTTCCTGTGGCTCAGTTTCGGAATTCTAAATCAAGACATTTAAGTCGTTTCTGACTAGTCAGAAAAATTCAAGTTTAATTAATTCTTCATTGCAAGTTAAACAGACGGATGTCATCTTGTAATTTAGACTCTATAAACTGATGTAAGCATATCCCTATAATATGTTCTACTGTCTAGACGCCCGTCAGCTATTAAATAATGTCGATCTGTGTTCGACTCCATCTATGATCTATTCCTTTTTACCATTTTTCTGACCTATAAACTAGTCTAGATGGGGTGGGTGGACAATTGGACTTCAGGGTGTGTTGACCTAGTCTTCACATGGTACAGGACATTTTTTGTCCCCGATAACTAGTCATGATGGGTGCAGTAGACATCTCAGACTAGACCTGTAGTATCTTATGGACTCTTCAGACTAGTCATGTAGCCCATCCTCACCATTTTTTTTGCTCACCTGGGTACGATGCAAGGCAGCGCTGCAATAACCAATACGATTGAACTAACTGTAGATCCAAATATGAATGAGAGCAATGGTGATTAATGTAGTCTTTTAGCTAATAAATGATGCAACTTTAAATATTTTACGGAACGAAACTCTCAACCAGTATATACTGATGCAATTTTTCAGAAAGATTAATTTTAACTTGAAAAAAAACATTCTTTTCTTTTTATGGACAAAAATTTTAAATAAATTTGCAAATACGACACCAGTCTCTCGTCTTTTTCTAATAGAGGAATAGTTCATCTCTCATAAGTGTTATAGTCATTGAAATAGAGCTATCTCAAACTAATTTTTACATGTCATCAAGTCCAATAAACATTCATGCAGTGGAATCCCGTTGTTTATGATGTAATCATTTCATACAATTAACAAAGGCAAAATCTTTCTTTTATATTAAGACGATCAAATCACATTATTGACATCGCTTGGTATCGTCACTGATGATAATAATGTACGCGATTATTTCAATTTCCTACAAATGATGTTGAGTTGCTTCTCGGTTAGTATACAGGAAGACGAATTGAAATCAAATCTACGGTTGAAATCAATACACTTTATAGAAACCCAGTTGTTCTCGATTCACAATCACAAGCATCTTTACCTGATACTGTTCTCTGCTGCGAATGTGGCCATATGGTTTGGAAACCGTTTTCTGCGAAAAATGCTGCCCCTATGGTGGCATTGTGGGAAAAATTACATCCTTCTTTAGTTTTCAGCTGAAACAGCATCGAACAAAAAGCTGCGAAGACTTTGAAGGAATACCAATATCTGGTCGGACTACGAATGATCTTGCAAGATTACGAGTTTGTTGTTCATAGGCTTCGAATGGATGTCGCGTGATCTCATATTATCCTAATCTTGAACGGCATGAAAAAATGTGCGAATTTGAAATGATTCCTTGTGAACTATGTCAACTGCTTTTATCGAAACGACCACCAATCGTAGAGCATACACAGCGAGATTGTTTCGAGCACATGCATGGCAAAAATCCTGCTGGAATTTAGAAACAATTTATGATACTTTTTAATGCTATGGAAGAAACAAAAGTCGAAAGCGTCGTCTCCAATCGACCATAAAAAATGTCCAAACTGAACTACCAAAGCTGAATTCAATACTTGAGAAGGATGATAAGACAACGAAAAAATGATTTAATTTGATCATCACGGAACAATCATGGATTTTCTTTTCTTATTAATTTTTAACTAAAATTTATAATGTGTTCGCTGAATATTCAAGATGAATAAGGATTTACAGCTAAAAGAACTATTATTGGGAATCAGTGCTGAGGGTGAGGATGTGGACGTTTTTGGAAAGAAGGGTAACGAGCTCATTCCACATCCATACTCCAAGATATAAGCGTTCAATCTTTGATCTAACAATTATAATTTACTAGTTGTCTAATTGAATACACAATGTAATAGTACTTTTCAACTGTCTCCAATAATCTGTAGATTCAAATATGAATAGAAACAGGTATGGTTAATATGATTTTTTAGTTAAGAATCTATCGAACTTTGGGAACTTAGAAAAAAAAACGGAGCCATGACACATCAATTTTTTACATATCGCGAAGTTTGATAACTGTTCAAGCGGTTTCATCAGACCGTCATTCGCTTTTATAAGATGTTTCATGATTTAGCCAACGATTTGCTCATAAATCGATCAAGTTCATAAAAGGAAATATCGTTTCTTATTCTGAACGTGTGCATAGATGTAGGTGTGGTTATGGATTTAGTTGTTCTCTTCGCTGACATCCACACCCATACCTCACATCCTTTTTTATTTTTACTCATCCGCTCATACTTTAGAAGCCACTTACTTTTACTTTTCATATCTATTGACATAGAAACTGTAATTGGTTTGAATCGTAGGTTTTTTGGGGCATTATCGTTATACCATTCTTTTTTCTTCATAAAACATATATACATTTTCGGGTGTGGGTAATTTAATCAACAATAGATCGGTTTTTAGGCCTTGAGGAAAACACAAGTTCAAACTGCCAATTTTACTTTTTTGCTTTTCAACAATCGATCAAATCGAAAACAGAATAACAAAGAATCTTTAATTCATTTGTTCTGATTAAAGTATTCAAAAATTGCAAACTTCAATTTTCGAACGCGTTTTGATGTTATTTTATCGAAATATAAACACTCATCAGAACTCAGCATACAAATCCGAGCAGTAAGAACTTACAAGATTAATATGAATAAGAACATAATATAAAAATGACAGAATAAGACTGAGTTGGAAGAAATCGACTGTGAATTTTATGTTTTGGGTACTTCGCATAGATAGTATTCCTAAATTTACTGATAAATTGTTATCAAGTTGCAATGATCAGTAGAGAAGATCTATTTCAAAATGAAAAGATGCGCAAAAAGAATGATCAAGTATTTCATTAAGCCCCTCTCCCTCTCAAACAAAGTCAACTTTCGTCAGATTCATCAATTTTATGATGAACTCTAAGGATATTACATAAGTTTTTTCGTAACCTCTTTAAAAATTTATTTTC